AACACACACAAGGACAACAAGTAAATACAAAAACAAAAATATAAACAAAGCAAAAACAACTATAATTATGTTATACAGACACTGAGCTAATATTTGATGTAGTAGTAGCTGTCTTTTACTCTGAGCACTAACTGACAGGGCACAATCTTTGTTTAAAACTTTGCCATTAACTGTTAGGGGTGTAAGAAAATACCAATACACTGAAATATCACAATATTTCATTTCCCTATACGGTATCAATTCTCTAAGCAGGGTATTGACTTTAAATTAAAGCCTCATTTCATCCTGAACTATAGGCTATTGTTGGTGTGGTGGGTGACCATATTTTTAGAATAAATTATTAAAAACTGAAAGCAGCCATAAATATATTATCAAACTATAAATTGGCACATTTTACTTAACCATTGAAAATATGGGTGAAAAAGGAAATATGAAACATATAAAAGACATGTAAAACATTGAGTTTTCTAAATGAAGAACTTTTAGAGAAGAAAATGGCAAYATATCACAATAAATTGTATTGTGAACCCTGTAACATGATATATACTGTATCACCAAATTCTTGCAAATACAAAGCCCTACTGTTGGACTCGACCCTGTCATTTGCAAAATATTCCACAAACCACTTACCAGATTTAAATGAAACTTTCAGAAGGTACTTAATGTGTACATCTACAACTTATTAATTTTAAAATCAACCCAATCCAAAATAGTCACCACAGCTTCACCTTAGCAAACACAAAAGTACCTATTAAGAGTTTTACAGATTCTTAGCTAAACTTTGATGTGAAAGTAGCTTAGAGGCAGTTCCAATACAAATTTTGAACACCTACAGATTGCATGAAATCTAGCATTGTCACATGAGGTTGGCCAAAATGGCTATAACTTTATCAAATCTCAACATCTTTGAGTAAAATTCTGGCATGCAAGACAGCGGGGGATATGCATTTATTTAAGGAATGCTGGGCTTTAACTTTATTTTAATGAATTTGTACAAGACTCACTCCCTGAGGAGTTGTGGATGGATTTTTCTTTTCAATGACTGCTTCGTGATCCAACTATAATTTGCTCCTCAAATACCCTTCATTTTTTTGTGAAGGCAAAAGCCAACATGTGACTTTAAGGCAGTTTTTCAAGTGGAGAAGGACTGAAATAGTGACTTATATAAAAGCAGGTCCAGCTCTTGGTTTTGTGACAGTTGCCCCGAGCGTCGTTGCAGGGCCTGTCTGCTGTGATCTGACGGCTCTCAGAAGCTTCTGACCCGTTCTGGTTCAGAGTCAGTTAGAGGACAGAGAAGTAAAACCCTCTGACTTTATTGGTGCTTCTGTCAGGGATCTTTGAACAAATGACAATAATCCACAGTGAGTAAAAGTGTTCATGGCCAAATGAGGTGTGGTGATGGGTTTCCAGCTGTCCATCAGTTCAAGCACCGAAACTCATCATTCAAAACCAGGTTCCAAAAACACAGTCCAAGTCATGCACTGAACTGGGTGATCTAATAATGTTCTTTAGACTGTGTTTGGCTTATAAAATCTTTGACTTTATAAAATAATACATTTCAGTGACTGTTTTCTCRAAAACTATTGTACCCATTTAAACAACTAATATTCAAATTTTAATCATCTCACACTGATTAATAAAAAACAAACACTTAAATATTCAATAAAAATGACAAAGCGACAAATCAAATAATTAGTAAACCATTAAAATCATTTCTAACACGGAACCAAATTTCTTGCTCATGCAATTTTGTGTTTTAGAACTATAATTGCAAGTCAAATGTCTGAGATTTGGKCTATCATCCAGACAAAACAAACGTTTGGCAATAATCAGTTGTCATTACAAAATTACCATTATGGGTGTGCTTACACATTCACTCACTTCAGGATGTTTCTTCATGTCACTTTCAGTTTAGATAAATGTTTGACTTGATTTAGCCCATGGAAACAGCAGGGTTTTCATTCAAGTGTCTGCATGGCATGAAGCAAAGCAAACACAGACCTATCATATTCATTTATTTAAAGCAACTGATCATTTTCCTTGAAGTGGGGTTTTGTTGAAAGATTACAAACAATCAATGTCTTACCTGATGTAAATAGATTGTTGAACAACCTTAGTTTGAAAAAAAACAATTTAAGTCTGACTGGACTCATGAGACTGGACTAACCGCTAGTCCAAGTGGGGATAGTTGCCATGTTAAAAGACATGTAGTTGGGYTATACAATATAAACTTTTATATTACTGTCATGTCAAATTACATTAGTATCTCTATACAATTATATGGGTTTGTGCAAAAACAAACAGCATTATCACATCCTGGGGCATATTACAGGATCATCATAATATTTCTGCCAAAATAACTAATGCCAAACTGATGGTGGTGTAAATGTTTCTAAAATCTTAAGCTCGGCAGTTCTACCAGTTTATGAGGTGTTGGATCAAGGAGTTCAGACTAACACAAGGAGCATTACAAGAAAACTTAACAATTTATTAAAGAAGACAAAAAATGAAAAACAAAGGCTGACATAACAAAACAGCAACAGAAAGTTGGGAAGCCACAGAAGACAACAGGACAGGATATGAAGCCACAAYGCCAGACTAAAGAAGAGTGAGGACAGAGTGTACATGGGTGGGACCTGATGGGATGAATAGAGTCACCTGGGCCAAATGACAATCAGGAAGAGGTGAGAGTGGACGGGGAAGGAGATAGAGCAAGTGATGATTGTGGCAGGAAAACAGAGAGCCAATAAAAGAAACTGAACCCCAAAAAATACAGAAACTAAACATTATGAGAAAACTATTTAATAAACCTTAAAAAACTCAACTCTGAAAAAACACAGATCATAACTAAACCAATAAAAATAAACTTTTTTCATCCAAAGCGAGGTAATTCAAAGATCTACTGTATATTGAGGTTGATGTTAATTGTTCATGATCTTTCCACAGAACTCCATTTCAAATGATTTGAACTATTTCTAAGATGCAATCAAGATGAAAACCACCAGAGCAACAGGTTGTCAGACTTTCAACACATCCAAATAAAACCTCATTTACAACCACTGGTCAGTTTATTGGCTTTTCCACCAGAGGAAAGCCACAGCAGTGTCAACTCTGTCCACATGTTTATGAGAGACGGTTCAGCTAAGCACGGATCATATCATTCTTTTACTGAGACAAATTTTCACATGTTTAAAATGGACAAACGAGGATTGTGGGAGTTTGCCTCTTCGATCTACATGTGTTTTGTGGACTTGGAGAAGGTTTATGATGGTGTTACTACAGAAGAGTGTCTGCTTTGGGAATCACAGGTTCTTGTCTCTGCTGTATGCAGATGATGTGGTTTCGTTGATGTCTTCAGGCCAAAACCTTCAGCAGACACTGAGGTGACTCACAGCCAAATGTGAAGCGGCTGGAATGAGAGTCAGTTCTCCTGGATTGACGGATTGGGGCCTAATCCTCAGTGATGAGGGTGTTGCTTCGGTCGGTCAAGGCCAAGCTCTCAATTTACTGGTCTGTCTACATTCCAACCTTCACCTGTGGTCATGATCAAAACCAAATGAATAAGATCCTTGATACAAGCAGCCGAAGTGAGCTTCCTTTGTAGGGTGGCTGGGCTCAGCCTGCATGCTCCTTCTGAACTGCTGAAATAGGTTTGGATTGTCGCAGTTTCATGATAAAAACTGCGTCATTCAGTTTGCATTGCTGACATTTTGGCAACTTCTCGACACAACCCGTGGGCCAAACTTTTAACCACCCTCCACATAAGAACTTATTGTGTGATTGGTCAGAAGTTTGTGGGAGTGTTTGTGCTGAAAGCGCTCAGAAGCTGTATTTTGTTTTAACCGCTTGCTTCAAAAGAAAAAAAACGTCTCACTTCATGAGCCGACTGTAGCAAGAAGCAGCAATTTATAAAGATAATCAAATGGCCAAAAACACGTGGCTGGAGATAAAACAGGCACTTTGCACRATGGAATCTAACTGATAAAACTTTGGAGCTTTAACCGCGACAGATTTGTGGGTTAATAATATCGGGTGACGAGTCTCTGACTTTTTTTCCGCACTGTGGACTTCAGCGGGAGAAACCCCMCTTTAGTGACGTATGCTGCAGCGGGAGGGGTTTCCCCAGGAGTTCAGCGTGGGGTGTCTCGGGGACTATGAAAGGTGTGTGCCAAAAGGAACGCCGAAAAACCACGTGACTTCTCATCAACTGTTCTGCTTCAGATGGAGTGCGCAGAGGTCTTTAGAGATAAGGTGAGGAATTCTGTCATCAGTAGAGAGCTCAGAGCCACTGCTCCTCTACTCCGAGGGGTCAGTTGAGGTGGTTTGGGCATCTGATAAGGATGTCTCTTGGACCCCTCCCTATAGAAGTGTTCAGGCATGTCCCACTGGTAGGAAGCCTCGGGGAAGACCCAGGACTCGCAGGAGGGATTATTTATCCTCTCTGGCCTAGGATGTCTCGGGGGTCCCCCAGGACGAGCTGGAAAGTGTTGCTGGGGAGAGGGAGGTCTGGGTTTCTCTCCAGTCTTTGAAAGCTATTGTGAAAAAGCTGGTCTTAGAATCATAACTGTGGCGACATGCATTGACTCAATATTCAGACACATTTATCACTTTTACAGCGATATGAAGTTTTATTTCAGTGGTGACTGTTCCAAAAGAAAAATGATCAGATGAAACTGATTTGCTCCAACCTTTCAGTTACCAACATCTGACAAAATAATTTATTATTCAATAT